AAAAAAAAAAAAAAAAAAAGAAAAGGCTAGAGCTACTTGCAGTTGCCTGACTTAGAGAACATCTCTACAAGGTGTAAGTGACTTCTCATCTGCTCAACAGCTCAAATCATTTATTGTCAAACCATGCTGTCTATTCTCAGGCCTTTAGGACTACTAGGGTCGTGGGAGCCTCAAAGTGTATTCTGCTTGATCCGGGCCTTCTTGGGCTTGATGTTCATGCGTTTCCAGACTTCAGCTGTGGTGCGGTCTGCTTTGGTGACCCCACTGAAGTCGAACGTGGTGATATGGGGCAGGGTGCACAGCACATATTGCCTGTGGGGAAGACTCAGGCTAGGGGCCAAACCCCCCACCAAAATCCCCTTCCCCCTCCACCAGTTGCTGTTGTCTTCCTGGACTGCAAGGAATGGAGGGACTTGAGCATAGTTTGGGGAAGATTAAGTTTATCCTGACTGAGAGCAAGGAATGCTTAGAGGTCGGCTACCCACTTCCCAGGTCTAAGCATGGCAGAAGAATGGTCTTAGATTTCTTGTTTCTCCTCCTCCTTTCCCTTAGGGGAGCCCAGCTAGACCCTACCTCCAGGGGCAGGGCACTTACCTATACCCTTTCTCTTCCTCCATGGGGTTCCCATGGAGTGTCAGGCTCCGGAGCCGAGGAAGGACAGCCAGCTTATTCACCTCCCCCAGGTGCTGGATGCTGTTGCCGTGAAGATAGAGGACACTCAGGTTGAAGAAAGTTGTTAGGACCTGTTGGGGAAGGAAACCAAAAGCCAGGCTAGACAGGACAGGACCCTTAATCTCTGCTCAGGGCTGATTTGTGGGCAGAGAAGAAAGAATGTGGGCAACAACCTGCCCTCCACTCCAACCCTCCACAGCCATACTGTATGACTCTAATCTACTGTTATTTACCTTTTAAGACATACAGGGCATCACACTGAAAAGGAGCTGTGATCTGAGGGTCAGGAGGATGGGCCTGGGTGCCAGCACTGCCACTGACTTGCCTCTCCTGCCTCTCTCTCAGCCTTAGTTGCCCCTTCACTGAAGACCTTTCCAGCTTTGGTGATCTACGATTCTATCACAGCAAGCAACGGGAAGAGAGTATCATGCTAGGCACATAAGAAGCTTTTAAAATACTGATTAAATTGAGATCACCACACCAGGGGAATAGTTTCCAAGTCATGCTCCAGCTCCTTTCCCCTCTTAGGGATCTTGGACCAGAAAAGGCCAAACTTTATTTCTTAAAACTTGAATCTGAGTTCACAGAAAGTAAGTGCTGTACTTTTATTGACTACCTCTTCCACAGGAGAACCCAGCACAGGACACAGTGGGTGCCCAGTGACAGTTACAATTTTACTTCAGCCTCTGATGTACCAGTTGTTTGTTGGTTTTCATGTACTTTTGTTCAATCCTCACAAAACCTTTATGATACTGGCGTATTATCCTCATTTTTCAGACAAGGAGGCTGCAGTTTTGAGAAGTTAGGTAGCTTGCTCAAAGTCAGTAAGAGGCAAACCCAGGATTTGAACCTACATCTGTCTGGCCCCCTAGCCTTGACTGCACCATGCTGCCTCACTACTTCCTTGATAACATGTAGGAGTAGAGAGGTTGGGGGCTGAACAAAGTGGCTTCAGGCTCCCCCAGCTGGATTCCTAGTGTTAGGAACTCACAGGGTCAATGGAAGTCAGGTCATTAAACGACAAGTCGATCCAGGCCAGGTTCTCTGGGTGCTCCAACAGCTGTGAAGCCACCTGGTTGAAGTCTCTCAGATCATTGAGAACATTGTTATTCAGCCACAGGGACTGGGTCAGTGATTTCCCTGACTTTGAACGCTTCAGTGGTCGTAGTCCTGTCCTTGGCTCCTCATTTACCAGGTCTGTGGGGACAAAGTGAGACTTGGGTATCATCTTTGCTTTTCTGGCTTGAGGGGGTGGGAAGGGACAGAGCTGGGAAGATTAGCCATCCAAGCTGTAGCTGAGTCTAGTGCAACCCTGTCCCATAGCTTCCAGCAATCAGTAAGTTTAGATTAAGGGCCAGAGACTTCTATCTCAAACTCTTGGCTTTTCAGGTTACATGGACTTCTCATGTCCACTGTACCACTGGGTCTTTTGTATACCAAATCAGTGTCAGGTTGAGGAAAACTAAGAACGAGAAGTGTTGGGCTTAAGCCGAGTAGATGATAACACAAAATCCTGAATTAACCACTGGTAAAGCCTATAGAATTCACTTCAGTGGAATACACTCTGACATCCTCCCTCTCTTTCCATTAATGTTGAGTACCTGCAGTATGCCAGGTACTGGATATACAGTGATAAACAAAATGAGAGACAGTCTGTTGCAGACTTTGTATGAGTAATAGGGCAGAGAGCAGACATTTGTGCCTTAGAGGAGCTTATACGGGCAAGATGGGAGCAAACTGGCAATATGATGTGATAAATGCTATATAATAGTCGTTTCGTAGCAGCACAGAAGAGAGGCTATTGACCCAGTATGGGAGCTCAGGGAGGTTTCCCAGGGCAGGTGAAGCCTGAACTGAATCTCAGTGGATTAGGAGATGTTTTTCAGGCAAAGAAGGGTAAAAAGGCAGGGAACAGCATGAAGAAAGGTAGAGGTACAGGACAGCCGGGGAGTCTGGGGCAGGTTTGTGTGCCTGCACAAGTGCTCGCACGCACTGCACAAGGGGAACAAAGAGGAAAAGAAGAGGCAGGAATCTAGTCAAAAGTCTCGAATGCCAGGCTAAGGATCTTGGGCTTCACCCTGTAGGTAATGGGAAGGCACCAGAGTTTTTAAAGCAAATGATTCAAATCTTTTATTTCAGAAAGATCACTGTGAAGTGTCAGTGTGGAATATGGATTTTAGGGAGTGAGTTGGACCGAATGACCAATTTGGCTGTTTGAGTCACCCAAGCAAGACATGAGAGGGACGGACCTACAATCAACATAATTTGGTTGACTGGATGTAAAGGTAGAAGAATATTAAAGGGTGGTGGCCAGTTGTATTAACTAGTAAGGAATTACGGGAAGAAGAAACAGCATTGGGAAGGTGATGAGTTCAGGCTTAGCTTTGGTGTGTTCGAGGTTCCTGTACAAAAAGGTGGAGAAGCCAAGTAGGTAGTTGGAGATGAAGGTCGGAAGCTCAGGAGACACAGACTTGAGAATCGTTAGCAAAGAAGGCATACAAGTTAGGGAAAGAGATGAGATTCCTCATGGAGAGTGAGGGTAGGGAGGAAGGTCAGAGAGGAAGAAGAATCCATTAGAGAAGTTAAATAATCAGGGAAAATCAGGAGAGGACAGTTTAAAGATGTTCAGGGAGTAAATAGTTTATAGTAGTAAGTTCCAGGGAGGTAAGGACTAAAAAGTAATTCTGGCAACTTAGAAGTCCCTAGTAACCTTGGTAAGGGCTGCTTCAGTGGAATGGCAAGGGTCTGGGGGTAGAAGCCAGACTGAAGTGAGTGAGTTCAAGAGTGAATGGAGGCTGGGTTCATGCCTGTAATCCCAGCACTTTGGGAGGCCAAGGGAGGAGGTTTGCTTGAGCCTAGGCGTTTGAGACCAGCCTGGGCAACATCATGAAACCCCATCTCTACCAAAAAAAGAGTGAATGGATATGAGCAGTTAGCATAAACAACATCCTCAGAAAGTTTGGCTGAGGAGGAGAGAGAATAGGGAATAGGATTATGTTAAAACCCAGGTGTATGGAACACCCCAAACCCTCACTCCTACTTTTTCAAAATGAGGTCCAGAAAGAGGATGGGCCTTGCCCAAGTTCAAAGTCGTAGAGTCAGAACCAGATGCCAGGTCTGCCTGAGGTAACTGTATTTTTCCCATTGCTGCTAAGCTTTTGGTTTCCTAGTTCACCTCTAGGGAAGGAAGTATGTAGTATTTGCCGAAGCTAGCCAGCTTTCTTCATTCTCTTTTCTGCTCTCTACTGGAGGGACACCCTTTGCCCTTCCACCCCCCACCTCGCCTCCTCCTCAGCTGCAGGTCAGGCAGCATCCACCAGATGGCTCTCTGCCTTAGTCCTAGAGTGAGCAGGACCCACAGTTGGGGCCTGAGGTTGCAGGAGGGTACTAGAACGGCATCCCCCAGCTCATGAATTCCTAATCCTGCCTCCCTCCCTACACCTCCTGAAAACCCTGAAATAGAATGACACAGATGAATCAAAATTAAGGTCAAAATAACCCCACATGAACTAGTGCCCCATGTGATAAGGTAGCAGCTTGGGGAATGCCACTGAGCATGGGCTGGAGGCCAAGCTCAGAGGGAATCACTGGTGGGACGGAGTTGCCTAAAACTTGATGCTGGCTGGAGCTGCTCTTATCAGGGATGGAGTGGTATATCCAGGCTGCCACAGGTTGCTGCTCCTCTCAGATTCCACCAACGCACTATACTGCCTAAGAATCTGTAAAGTTCCTTGTTCAGAGTAGGCCAAAGCAGGTCTGGAAGCTGGACCACAAATATCGGTGCTTTGAGAACTGGGGAGCGTTTAGCTCCAGGAAGATCTAGGAAACTATGTTCCTGTTTTCCTTTCTCTGAAAGGCTGCCATGTAGCTGTTTCCATCTGTCAGAATACAAGTTAGTTTGATAGAACTTCCCTGTGTCATCCCTCAACCACAAACTGGAAGGGGTTGTTAGGTGAATATGGTAGGAGACTTCCTTAACACTCTAGGTTTGTGAAAAGTTAGAGGATCTGGGTTGGTGGGAGCACAGATTAGATGGCTTCCAAAGGCACTGCCATTTCATATTCTGTAATATGTATTCATTCAGCAAAGTGTGCCAAGTACCCCCAAACTCTATTGTATCCCTTAACCCCAGCTGTAAATAAGTTTTTCAGAAGCTCTGGGGAATCTGAAGGGACTCTGACCTTTTGGGCCTTTGATGTGCCTCTCACACATCTAGCAAGGAGCACAATACCTGGCATATACATATGACACACACACACACAAACACACACACATATATAAATGCTTAATAGTAAGTGCTCAGTAAATACTGAATGGTCGAAAGAAGGATGGGGCATCTGTACCAATTACGTTTTGTGATGTAGAGTTACCCTTGGTACTGCTTGTCTCTCTCCCAATTCTGGGGACTCCATAGAGGGCAGAGCTACACCTCCTCCATCAGAGTTAGAAACTCCCATGATAGGTAGGAGGTATACTTCCACCTCTGTCATTTCACCTGTCTTAGAGATAGTTACTATTGCAGCTAAAACCCCTTGTGAAACATGGACTACATCAGAAGTGATGCAGTGCACAATAAAGATCACAGTAGGTGGCTGTGTGCTCGTGAGAGAACAAATATGAGTTACCACTGTGGCTGATGATAACGCAAGTAGACCCTAAACCCAAGCTAAGACTGGTGCTATTTGCCAGCTTCCCGAGCTTAAAGGTGGTGGCTACCAATTGCCTGAGAGAAGATTAAAGCCAAATAATAGTTCTAAAACAGTAGATGTTAACGTGTATTCTGTGAGGACAGATGGACTGATGCTTTAATGAAAGAGCAGATAACAAAAGCCAGGGATGGCGGAACTTCCCTAGGAAGAATGAATGACTCATTGGGAATATGACATGGCTGAGAGCCTCCCTATGTTCCCTCCTGAAGGGACTAGCTACCCATTTGCAAAGACATTGAATGGCAAAATGGTAGCGAGTGTGGGCAGTGTTGGAATCTGCAATAAGTGTAGATGATGATGGAATAAACTTGGATATGGCTGGAATGAGTGTAAGAAATTTGTCAGTAAGTATTTAAACTAGAACTATGCCAGTTTGTTGATAAGACCCCTCATGTTTGGCCAGTCAGAATAGGCTTGTGTCTGCAGACAGAGGAGAAGGGTTTTGCCTACTTGCTGGGACTCCATAGGAGCCTGTGTTTTCCTCCTCTCTTCAGGTAAAAACAGGAGAATAAAACTATTGGCTGGTAGACTGGCTTCCCAGTTTTCTTCCACTTGACTTTCCTGCTGTAGCCTGGCTTCTTTTAAAGATGATCAACTACTGTGATAGCCCCCTGTTTCCTTTCAGATTTGCTCCTTAAAAAAAACAAACAGGGGCACATGTTCTTAGGATCTCCTGGGGCTGTGTCAGGGGCAAAAACAAAACAAACAAAAAGACAAAAAAAAAAAAAACCTCTCACTCTCCCCTACCCTCCAAAAGACAGTAACAACACATCTGCAAGCATATAGGAAGAATCTCTTTAGGTTTTTAAGTAGAAGATTATGGTTTCTCCCTGGGGACCACACTGGGCCTGCTGCCTTAGTGAGTGGAGTGCTGTGCTCCGGGGGCTGACCTTGAATGACGTGGATGCTTCTGAAGGAGTAGTCAAGAGGGGGCTCCTGTACCGAAGTGTTCATATAGTCCCGTTTGTTCATAGTTCAGGCCATCATTCATCAGGTGAAAGCAGGTGCCCTGGGAGTCTGGGTTCAGCCTGGGAGGACAGAGAAAGGTGTTTCAAGTACACCGGCCTTCAGGTTTCCCCATAGTCTTCCATCCCTGCTTTCTATCCTCTACTACTCTAGGTCTGCCTGGCTGTATTTCCATTTTAAGATACGAATCACAATTCCTTTCATGTATAGAGCATTTTCTACTTCTCAGAGCACCTTCACATCTCCTAGAACTCATTTGAGAGTTGTAACACCCATTTCTTTGTCTGGAAAATGCCAGATGAAGAAACTGAAACCCAAGGGGTAAAAGGACTTGCCCAGAGTTAAGCCAATGAGTCAGTTGTAGACTGCAGTCATAATCTCCTGACTCTTGAGACCCTTTCTGTTACTCTACAGTAGCTACCATGGAGACTGTCTTGATATCCACCCTCTGGTGACATCAACTGGGCTATTCTATTGCTTAACAAATCCCTGAGGGCCTGCACCACATCTGATTGGTGTCTGACTGCCCCTCTCAGTCTGGCCCAGCTGGGGATTTGCCACCTTCTCCACTTGGCTTCTGTGTCAGCTCCATTACCTTTCCATCCAAAGACCCTACTTTCAGCCCTATCCTGAATGTAGCCATACACATATAAACATACACACACACAAAACCAGAGTCTACCTCTCACCTGTCACTGATGCCTGAAACTCCACCATTAGGGATTCATTCCTGTGGGTTCAGGGATTGTTTCCGGTTAAAATGGAAATACTCCCTGAGAGGGATGAACACAATGTTGTTATCAGTCACTTGCAATGTGGTGTGAATTGTCTTATCAGATGGTTTCCAATTTGTTAGCTAAAGTAAAGCTGAGGTTTTTCTGGAGACAAGGGAGAACCATGAGAATACTACTCACCTGGGATAAAGAGAGCTGACAACACACTTTAACAAGGGGTTTGTGTGTGAATCACACAAGCAAAAGACAAATTGATAAGGATATAGGACAAGAACTTGTCCCAGTCGACCTCCCCTTTCTCATTCCATCCACTGCTGCCACCTTTGTATTATTGTTTGTATTACTTCACCTGCTTTCCAAAAGGATTTCAGGTTTACAATAATAACACAGTCATGAAACAGATGATTTGCAGAATAGTGCTGTCCACTAGAAATATAATGTCACAAATGCAAGCCACATATATAATTTAAAATTTTCTAGTAGCCAAAATAAGTAAAATGAAGTGGTAAAGTTAATTTTATTAACTTTATTTTACCCAGTATATCAAAAAATCAATATGTAAGCAATATTAAAACCTTCTGAGATATTTTACACTTACAGCACATCCCAATTTGGACCAGCCTACCTGTCAAATGTACATGACTAGTGGCTACCATACTGGACAGTGCAGATTAGAAAGTTAAAAATGGAAGAGAAAGATCAGAAACTAGATTACAGGAAGAGAGAGATGTGCCAGGCACTTTAAGAATCTAAGCCTACATTTAGCTGTGAAATTCCTGGCAGCCAAAACAAAAAGAGAAACCTTGGGATTGCAGTTCTCATCATTGGATTCAAAGGATAAATTAGTTTGCAGAGACAATGAAATTGGCAAACAACCTTAAAGTGGAATTTCTTACTCGGGAGGCTGAGGCAGTTGGATTGCTTGAGCTTAGGAGTTGGAGGTTGCAGTGAGCTATAATTGTGCCACTGCACTCCAGCCTAGGCGACAGAGCAAGACCCTGTCTCAGAAAAAAAAAAAAAAAAAAAAGAAGAGAAAAAAGAAAGAATTTCTGTTGAAAACCAAGGACCTGATATCTTATAATTCAGTTGAAGCTTAATACAGTTCAAGTAAATTATTTTTTTTTTTTTGGCAATTTAACATATACATGGATAACATATACATGGATAGGTTTAGAGGAAAATGAATGTCTTGTTCTGAAAAAAATAGCAGTCCCAACTGAGCTTTGGGGAAGTGCCAGCTTGAGTCACTTCACAGCTTCTGTTATGAACTGGTCCCATGGGCATGGATTGTCAATTAGGGAGACTTGAATCTTTTAGATATTAAATCTACAGGCAGACAACAAAGAACACTTTATTCTTTTTTTTTTCTTTTTTTTTTTTGAGACGGAGTCTTGCTCTGTGCCCCAGGCTGGAGTGCAGTAGCGCGATCTCGACTCACTGCAAGCTCCGCCCCCCTGGGTTCACGCCATTCTCCTGCCTCAGCCTCCCAAGTAGCTGGGACTACAGGCGCCCGCCACCTCGCCCGGCTAATTTTCTTGTATTTTTAGTAGAGACGGGGTTTCACCGTGTTAGCCAGGATGGTCTCGATCTCCTGACCTCGTGATCCGCCCGTCTCGGCCTCCCAAAGTGCTGGGATTACAGGCTTGAGCCACCGCGCCCGGCCAAGAACACTTTATTCTTTTGTAAAAATAGAAGAACCTGCTGTGTACTATAGAACTAGAGGAACCTAGCTTATACAGAAGCCCATCCCACTTCAGCACCTACAACAGATTTGATACCTTTGAACAAGATTGGATACTTTTCTCGAAGTAAATACTGGGCTGGTACCCCAGAGTTATGCACCACTGAACATGGATTTTAACTTGAAATACTTAAGGGCAGATTTTTACTGTTAGTTTTCTTGACTATCAGAGAACCCCAGTGCAGTTCCTAAAGACTTCTGATTTTGTGTAGCACCAGCTCCTGTTGCATTTTCTGAATTAGTACTACAAATGGAGCCCCAAGAAGCTGGTTAAATTTTTAGCCTTCTGCATTTAAGCTGTAGCCCAGGCTGTGAGCTAGTATCGCGTCTTATTCATTATCCAACATAGAACCAGGTTTACAACAGGCACTCAGAAAATGTTTGTGGGATGAATGAATGAGAAACTGCCAATTCTGAGGATTTCTGTTTCAGAAGAGTTGATGCTAAGCTGTTCTAACAATTGGCTCCCAGGTTCAGCTGTTTCAGTCCACACCTTGTTCACAGTAAGATATTCAGTTCAATTCAGCAAACATTTGTTGAGTGCTTGCTGCTCTGTGCCTGACCAGAAGAAATGAAGCCAAGATACAAATAATAGAACTCTGTCATGAGCACAGAAAGACCTGCTGAGTTTCTGTTGATTGTGGCAAACCAGCCTGCCTCCAGTTCCAAGTAACAGCTGCCCACTTAGTGAATACTCTCTCATGTTTCAACACTCAGTTCTAGTGTACCCTCTTCTATAAAGCCTTTCTTTTCCAGATAAAATTGGTTAATGTATCCTGTGTTAGGCTGATTGTTTTGATGATCCCTATTCATGGTCTCCCCTGTATCCATCCCTTTTTGCCTATAACATTATAGTTCCATCTCACTCTGATGCTGGGCCCAGACATGTGACTTGTTTTAGCCAGTGGGATGTTGATAAACATGAAACAAACAGAAGCATTAAAGGAGGCCTGCCTTCTTGCTCTCTGCCAGTGCCATGAGAACATGGCTGATCTGCTGAAGGGTTATGAGATGTGTAGGTGAGAGACATGCGAAGGAGCCATTGATTCCAGCTGAAGCCATCCTAGACTAACCCACAGTCAGCCTACCCCCAGTCAAGATCAGGAGAGTCACCCAACCCACGGATGACTGCCGACACATGAGTAAGCCCAGCCAAACCAGAAGAACCATCCAGCTGACTCTAAGACTTAGAAGCAATAATAAATGTTTATTATCTTAAGCCACTGTGTTTTGGGATGGTTTGTTACACAGCAATAGCTAACTTCGGCATGCCCCCACTGTACTTTGAACAAAATTTTATTGAACAAAATTTTATTTCAGCCTGTTTACTCATCTGTGAAATGGAGACAAACCCTACTTTGAGAACTATTGTACATCTGGCATCAGGTGCTCAACAAATGGAAGCAGTTGTATTCTTTGTTAATTTCATTATAACCAACTTTGTTTACTCCCTGTAAGCTTGAGGACAGGGACAAGACTCAGACTTCTTTCTCCCTTCTCATCATTACCCTACATTGAACCTGGCAAAAAAAAAAAAAAATGCATATTCACTAAAGGTTTGATGGACAAATGAAAATGGATGGACAATGGAAAAATGAAAGAAGAAATGAAGGAATTAATGGAGTCTTCAGGGTATCACATAGAGAGCTTGACTGCTGGAGAGAACTGACAAAGCCTTGATGCTGCCATGCTTAATCCTGTGGCTGTGTTTTTGGAGTCAGTCTTTCCCATCTGCTATTCTGGCTTATGACCAGGAGATAATCAGATGCCAGCACCTTCATCTGTCCAGACTGACTGACTTGATGAATAACAAGGTTAGGGGAATACCTGCCTTGTTTCGGAACTGGAATTTCTCATTACCAAATTGACAGTATCTTTAACTGTTTTGTTTTTTAATTGTAAAAGCTAATATGATAGATGATAGATGAATAAAGTGAAATGACATGGAGAAGTACATCAAATAGGAACTCAAAGTTTGAATCTCCATTAACAGTTTGGGAATATAACCTCCTAGAATGTATAGCTAATAAGGTTTTATACATACACACATGCACATGTGTGGTTTTCTTTTTTCTTTCTTTTTTTTTTTTTTTTTTTTTTTGAGACAAGGTCTCACTCTGTTGCGCAGGCTGGAGTGCAGTGGTGCCACTTCAGCTCACTGCAACCTCTGCCTCCTAGGCTTAGGCAATCCCACCACCTCAGCCTCCCGAGTAGCTGGGACTACAGGCACACGTCACTACACCCTGCTAATTTTTGTATTTTTTTTGTAGAGACACAGTTTTGCCATGTTGCTTAGGCTGGTCTCAAACTCCTGGGCTCAAGCTATTCACTTACCTTGGCCTCCCGAAGTGCTGGGATTACAGGTGTGAGCCACTGTGCCCGGCCTAGATTATGTATATTTTTAAATAAACAATATTCCTTTATAAACCTATTTTTAAATTTTCGAATTGTTGTAGATTATTAGCCTTTTTAATAGTTGCAAAGTATTTTATCCTATGTATCTTACTTTAATGTTATACACTTAATTTAACTTTATTTAACCAATCCCAAGTTGACAGAAAACTGTTTTCAGTTTTGGGAAATTACTAAAGTTTGTAATTTGATTGTTGCTAGCCTATTCCTGACCTCTCTCAGGCAAGTTGCAACATGATAACACAGGAAGCTTTGAGGAATAATCACATAAATCTGATAGGAGATTCAACAGCCTGGCCTGAGAGTTTCTGATGATGGACTGATGGTAGAAAAAAAATCAAAGACTGCTATGAAAAATCTGCCACGTATTTAGCCAGGCATGGCAGCTCACACCTGCAGTCCCAGCTACTTGGGAGGCTGAGGTAGGAGTATGGCTCAAGCCCAGGAGTTCGAGGCTGCAGTGAGCTATGACTGTGCCACTGCACTCCAGTCTGGGCAACAGAGCAAGACTCTGTCAAAAGAAAAAAGAAAAGAAAAAAGAAAAATCTGCTACATAATCTAATTATTCTGGGAGGTTATATTCCCAGGTGCCAAAAGGAGGCCCAAGATTCAACCTGGCTTCTGTTTACTCGCCTCTACTACCATCTCAACTCCAATTCTGCAGTCCAGCCAAATGTAACTACTCACCATAAGTTCCTCGGACCTGCTGCTGGGCCTCTAAGTGGAACAGTGTCTCCTTCCAGCTCTGTCTGCTTGGAATATAGTTTTTCTCTCCTTTTGCTTTGCTAATTCTTACTTCAGGGCTCAGATCAGGTTTCAACTTTTCTGAGAAGTCTACCTTTATCCTAAAATCTGTAATTATAGTGCTATGATTTCCATGGTAGCACTCATAACACTACAATTATCTGCTTACTATCTGTATGTCCATAAACACCACCAGGGCAGAAACCATATTTTTCTTACAGTTGTATCTCATAGTGCTGGCAAGTAGTAGGTGCTTAACAAACACATTAAAAATTGCAACTAAATAACACTACAAAGGAGAGGGACATGAGGTTGCTGTAATTGAGGGATCTGACCTGGTCTGAACAGTCTACAGGAAGACATTCCTGAAGAAGTGACTGAGAGAAATCCAAAGGATAAGTACAAATTAACTTATGGGGTAGGGGGTGCTGTGGAATGAGCATTCCAGGCAGATGTGACTGCTATATGCAAAGGTTCTATGGTGGAAGGGCACTTAGAAATTTTGAAGACCTTAAAGGTTATATAACTGAAGGGGAGAGAAGGAGGAATATGTATGGTTAGACTGGAGGCTGGAGAGATGGGAGCAATAGGAAACCACAAAGTATTAATATTAAATGGGGGTTGGCTGGGCGTGGTGGCTCACGCCTGTAATCTCAGCACTTTGGGAGGCCAAGGTGGGCAGATGACCTGAGGTTGGGAGTTCGAGACCAGCCTGACCAACATGAAGAAACCCCATCTCTACTAAAAACACAAAATTAGCTGGGTGTGGTGGCGCATGCCTGTAATCCCAGCTACTTGGGAGGCTGAGACAAGAGAATTGCTTGAAACTGGGAGGAGGTTGCTGTGAGCCGAGATTGTGCCACTGCACTCCAGCCTGGGCAACAAGAGTGAAACTCTGCCTTGAAAAAACAAAAAAGAAAATTGGGGGTGGGGTGGAGAGTGAACAATTATCAGCTTTGCATTTTGAAGGATTACTCTGGTTGCAGTATGCAAATATGGCAGGACCTATATAGAAGATATTCAGGAAGTAAAGCTGATAAGACTTAATGATAGATGGGAAATGGAAGAGGTATTAAGTAAATGGAAGAGGTATTAACTCTTGGGTTTTGGGCTTGTGTATATTGTGGATAAAGGTAGGAGCACTGGAAGAGATCCAGACTTGGAGGAAAGGGTTGGGATACACAGAGATTGGTTTCAATTTCAGAAATGTAGAGTTTGGGTTGCCTTTGAGGTATCCTAAAGGAGATGTTGAGGAGGCAATTGGCTATATAGATCTGGAGCTTAGAGATGAGGACTGGGCTAGAGATACACACTTGTGTACATTTGCATACAGGTGGAAAATGAAGTTGTGGGTGTAGAGGGGTACCCAAGAAGAGAATATAGAGTGCAGTAGCAAGAGGCGTAGGACCAAACCTGGGAGAACTTTAAGGTAGTAAGTGGACCAATCAGGGCCAGCTAGCCACCAGCTAGAAACCAGCTAATCATGGTGGTCACTTCAGACATGGGTGCTGTGTTAGCACTTCTGTTTCCTGTTTAGTTAAAAATGTTGAAGTTTCATTGTCTTAGTCTCTCTAGTTCCTTTTCCCCATTAAAACTTTCAGGGGAGGATCTGAAATTCATTCCAGAGGAAGTGTAAATAATCCAAAGTAGGCCATACAGGTTCCTTTTCCCTGGGGTAGTTTAACTTGTTCCTTGGAACAAGTCCTTCAGCTATAGAGGCAGTAGGCTGAAGCTAAAGAGACTTAGCTGGAAGTTGGAGAACTGGAGTCTAGTTCTAGCTCTGTCACTAATTTGGTGCGTGGCCTTGGGCAAGTCCCTTTTCTCTAGGTTTCAGTTTTCCAATCTGTGAAATGAAGATAAATATCTTTGATTCACAGAGCTGTTAAGAGTATCAAAAGACAGACTGTGAAAGCATTGGGTAGGTTACTAAATGTAATAGATCTGTCGTGAGGACTAACAAGAATGAATCTCTAACTGTAGAGCTTTGAATAGCGGACCATGGAGAAGGTGTGGGGAGAAAAGGGAATCTGAGGACAGGTTGAGAAAGGGTTTTACTCCTTGGAAGAGGAAGGAAAGAGGCACTTCACGCCCCAGGAAGTTTCCTACATCTCCAGAATTAGGGTAGGGACTGCGATTTACTCTATCTAATGCTATCCACATGTCTTGGAAGGAGGTCTCAGTTCCTCAGAGGAAAACTCCATTTCTGAGGGCGTTTCTGATCTCCCAGGTTATGCCTGGAACTTGAAGCATCCGATTTTGGGAGCCTTATGTTTGCGTTGGGAGCGGGGTTCGTTGTTTTGTTTTGTTTCCTTTTGTTTTGAGATGGGGATATTGCTCTGTAGCCCACGCTGGAGTGTAGTTGCGTGATCACTGCAACTCACTGCAGCTTCAATCTCTGGGCTCAAGCGATCCTCTCACCTCAGCCTCCCTAGCAGGTGGGGCCACTGGAGCGCGCCACCAAGCCCGGCTAATTTTTTTGTATTTTTGGTAGAGACAGGGTTCGCCATGTTTCTCAGGCTGGTCTCGAACTCCTGGCCTTAAGCGATCCGCCTGCCTTTGTCTCCCAAAGTGTTGGGATTACAAGCGTGAGCCACCGCTCCTGGCCCTAGGGGAGGTTCTTAAGCATCCCCAAATCTGTATGGATATATATATCTCAACGCCTTTCCCTCCCTCTGTTCCCCTTGCCCAGTTTGTCCCGTGTGAGTGTTGTGTCTTGTTCACTGTGAAAGGTGATGAGGGTCGGTTGGGGAAATCTCAGATATACGAGCAGGGAGGTTCTTAGTCATTCTGTGAGTGCCCCTCCCTTCTCCATAGATCTCTTGTCCCCTAGAACAGGTTTCCTGTTTTCCCGCCCGACTCACCCGCAGTGGCTTCCTCTCCAGTCTTGGCGTGCCACTGCCTCACGGTTACTCAGGGCAACTCCATGGCAACTGCTTTCGTCACCACGACCCGGCAGGCGCCATAAGAACTGACGCGGTGCTTACCGGGACCTGTAGTTTGTCATGGGCGGGGCTCTAAGGCCGCGGGTGACGCTGGGATATGTGGTTGTCTTTGCCTTCAAGTCCAGGCCGGGGTCCGGAAGCGGTGATACCCCTTCTCTTTCCCAGTGGCCCTCAAACTTCCTTTTCCCGGGTCCTTAAGCGTGCCCCGCGTAAGTCAACGGCCGACAGAGGCCAATCAGAGGGCCGCGCGAGGGGGCGGGGCTATAGTTTAAACTAATTGTGCGTTCACAACGCTGGCGCGAGCCCAGGACTAAGTGCGATTCGGGTGAGTAGCGAGGCAGAGCGCGAGCGCGCAGCCAGGTAACCGGCGTGGGCCCGCGTTTGGCGTGCGGCCTGGGCACCTGCAGGGGTGCCAGGCCTAAAAGGGGTGCTGGAGAGGCCGCTGCGAGCGGAAGGCCTCCTCCGTAACCGAGTCCGAAAGGGCAGAATCTCCGGGGTAAGGTTTCCGAGGAGAGGCGCCTGAGGGGGAGGAGCCGGGGGGGGTGCCTTAAAGGGGAGGGTCTGTTTGGGGGCGTGTCTGTGGAATTAAGTCTGAAGGTGACGGGGGTCGGGGGTAGGGCAAGTTCCTTAAAGGCTTGTAAGCGAAGGGTCGGGTCTTGGAAAATCTTCGTCTTTTATCGGTAACAATAGCAGTAGTCAGCATTTTCTGAGCTACACCGTCCTCAATGACCTGCCAAATGTTTATCTTTTTAATCTCCTAACCACTTGTTATGCTTTAAAGATGGGGAGCCTGAGGTTTGTAATGTTTAGCTTGGCCTGGTTTACGTAGCCAGTGCGAGGTTGGCTCTACTTGGGGTTTTGCGGGTTGGGCATAAATGGGGACGGGGAAGGTGCTGTGTGGGGGCGCGCGTTGTCTCGGACTGGTCAGTGTATTTTGAGCCTCACTTTTCAGATATGTAAACAGTGACCTTACCTGCCTTACCTACTTCCTGGGGGTGGTTGCCCTGGTCAAAACAGGTATGTCTTTTTCTTTTTTTTTTTTAATAATTTTTTTGTTTGTTTTTGTTTGTTTTTTTCATCCGCGGACTCTCACAGATAACATGTTTCATACACGCACCTCGGAGAGTACAAATTTATGACTATAAGTGGGGTGACTGTGTGAAGATTGTGGGTGGGCGGGAGCCCACTGGGTTAATGCTGCCGCCTATGGGTACTCTCTTCTGCTTACCTCTGAGTTAGCGCTTGTCATCTGTTAGTTTTTTTTGTTTTGTTTTGTTTTGTTTTGTTTTGTTTTTTGAGACGGAGTCTCACCCTGTCGCCCAGGCTGGAGTGCAGTGGCACGATCTCGGCTCACTGCAAGATGTGCCTCCCGGGTTCAAGCAGTTCCCTGCCTTAACCTCCCAAGTAGCTGGGATTACAGGCGCCCGTCACCACGCCCGACCAATTTTTGTATTGTTTTTTTTTTTCTGAGACAGAGTCTCGCTCTGTCCCCCAGGCTGGAGTGCAGTGGCGCGATCTCGGCTCACTGCAAGCTCCGCCTCCCGGGTTCACGCCATTCTCCTGCCTCAGCCTCCTGAGTAGCTGGGACTACAGGCGCCCGACACCACGCCCGGCTAATTTTTTGTATTTTTTTTTAGTAGAGACGGGGTTTCACCGTGGTCTCTATCTCCTGACCTTGTGATCCACCCGCCTCGGCCTCCCAAAGTGCTGGGATTACAGGCGTGAGCCACTGCGCCCGGCCCAATTTTTGTATTGTTAATAGAGACGGGATTCCACCGTCTTGGCCAGGCTGGTCTTGAACTCCTGACGTCGTGGTCCGCCCGCCTCGGCCTCCCAAAGTGCTTGAATTACAGGCGTGAGCCACCACGCCCGGCCTGTCATCTCGTATTTTAAGAGTCTATGCGAGTTTGTCTGCCCTTCTAGATAATGAGAGACTTTTTCGTCACTGCATCCTAATGGCCAGGCAGGATTTGCGACATGTAATGGGAATAAATGTATGCTTTGGAATAATTTCTTGGGCTGAAAGGGCACAGGAACTTCCCTTTCCCGTTTTCATTTAGTGGCATTTGAACCTCAGTAGTAAGCTGTCCTCTTTTCTGGAATGGCACTCCCTCTTGAAAACGTGATGATATTTTCTTGCTTTAATACATAGTTCCCTCTCTCTAGTATCTGTTGCCTGGTTCTATGTTTCCAAACTTCTGGGTTGTCTGGTCGTTACAGCTTTAATGGCGAGGGAGTTGGGCCTCTCTTTACTGCTGTGAATATATGAGAATCTGGGGTGAACGTGAGGATCATGTAAGGTGCTTTCTGTCAGCACAGATGGGTGTATGTTTCTTCTCTCCCTCTTTCTGTGTGATATTTTCTTCTTTAGAGGAAGAACCACATACTTCTTTGTAAAAGCTTCCAAAGTACTATTTTCTTAGCCTAAGTTCAAGCAAGGGATGACTAATTGTAATGTCTAAGCTTTTAGTTCAAAGCGAAAAGCTGTACATTCCAAAAGCTTAAAGATCTTACCTGAAAGCTAATTAAGAAACATAGAATTATTTTTCACATGTGGAACATGGAAGTGGGAAGAATGCCTTGAAATAAGACTGAATTCTAGAACTGTTAGGATGAGGGCATAGCGCTGCTCGGGTAGCTGAACAGAGCTGATCAGCGGCTGTTTGGACAGCTGTGTTTAATTGATAAAACTATGATCAGAAGATACTAGGTTGGTGCAAAAGTAATTGCAGTTGTTGCTGTTGAAAGTAATGGCAAAAACCGCAGTTACTTGTGCATTAACCTAATATATGGTGTGGTCATTTAATTCAGCCTCTTACCCAGTGTATACTAAACATGCAAAAGGTGTTGTCCAGACTCAAAGTGAGTACTTTCTAGAATGAGATCATTCCCAAAGTCAATCCATCTCTTTGTTGAACAATTTTAATTAATAATTATTATTTTGTAGCTGGGCATGGTGGCTTGCCCTGTCATCCCAACTACTCTGGAGGCTGAGGCAGGAGGATTGCTTGAGCCTAGGAGTTCTTAGCTAGCCTGGGCAACATAGTGAGACCCCAACTCAATTAAAATATGTATATTATTTTGTATTGTTAGTGATTATTTTGTTTTACCCATGTATGTCTGCTGTTGGCTTTTTCACCGTTCTTCCCTGCATTTTATTCCTTCCTTTTTTATTGCATAGATATATACATCCCCCAGATGTTTGCTTCAGTGGGAATCTGTTAGTGGTAAACACTGTCTTCATTTAAAAAATCTTTATTTCACTTTCAGTCTTTTTTTGAGACGGAGTCTTGCTCTGTCGCCCAGGCTGGAGTGCAGTGGGGCGATCTCAGCTCACTGCAAGCTCCGCCTCCCGGGTTCACCCCATTCTCCTGCCCAGCTCACTTTCAGTCTGGATTGGTAGTTTAGCTGGGTACTAGGCTTCCAATTATTGCCTCTTAGCACTTTGAAAGTGTTTTTTCAACCGGGCGCGGTGGCTCACGCCGGTAATCCCAGCATTTTGGGAGGCCAGGGGGGTGGATCACAAGGTCAGGAGATCGAGACCATCCTGGCTAACATGGTGAAACCCCGTCTCTACTAAAAATACAAAAAAATTAGCCGGGCGTGGTG